TCTTGTGAATGATTGTTCACATTTGCATTTGCATGTGTGCATGGATAGCAGGCTAGGCTTGATAGGCGAGTGACCCCATGCTGGTAATGATGCCTTAGCAAACATTGCTTGCCGGGTTGATCCCCATAATTAATGTAAGTTAAAGCATCTGGATTGACATGAGTATGATTGTAATAAGGATCCAATGTATCTAACTCGCGTCACCTTGCATGTTTTGGGTCCACATTTAATGACCCTTATTTTAAGACATAAAAAAATATATTTTTCTATTTATTTCATCTGCCATAATTTTAAAATTTTGCATGTAGCAAGCTAGGCCATAAGGCCAACTATTTTTCAAAATCCATCAAGGGTGACACCCTTCATATCTCTTGGATCTTTAGGATAGGGTTAGTGTGGCGACCCCATCAAAGTTATAAATACTTGAAGACATATCTTGAGCACTTAGATGCGTGTTAGGACACATTCTAGTTAGATTGTGTGTTGTCTAAGATTTATGATGCTAGGTAGTCTTTTCAATGCCTTTGGCTAATGTTCGTGGTTGATTTTCTTATGATAGCCAAGCATCATTTTTGTACTTTTTGGTGGTTTGTGTGCTTGATATGCATTGCAGTATATTAGGACGTTCTTCTGTAGTGAGTCGTGCCTATAAATATGCACACACACACAAAAGTATCATTAAAAGGGGATCATGTAATAATTTCTACGAACCTTTTGCTTGCAAGTGTTATTTAGCTTCCCTGATAAAAAAATGGTTCATTATACATTGCATGTTTTTTGGCTTTCCTGCTAAGATTGTTCTCATGTAGGTCGAGTCCTTGTTCCTTTATAGTTTGAGAGTCCTTGGAAGAGTCTGTATTAGAAATAAGGTACGGGCATGAGTTTCAGACGGACAAAACGCGATAGGGACCAGGAGCTGTTTGCTCGTGTCTCGTACCATAATTCTAAATTTCATTTATGTAAAGTATATAATTAGAACCAGTCGTGTATATGCAAAGTCCAATCACCATTTTCCTTACTGGGATATGTCACTAACCTAGTGGCACCGACCTTTTATTATTTTATATTTGGCTTGTTCTACTGCTTTTCCTGCATGATTGCATGCTTGAGTTGTTTCTCCTATTTCTTTTTAGTTATATTTCAGATGCTTTGAAAGTTGCAATTAATGTTCTTTAGGACTTTAAAATTGTAAATTTTTATACAAAAATATTAATAAAAATTTTCAAGAAAATTAAAATCTAGGATTAAAATTGTTAGGATTTTTCAAAACTTGCTTTTACATTTTTGCATGGCCTTCGGGCTGATTTTAAAACAGGTTGCATGACATGGGAATAACCCAAGTCATATAATACGACCTCCACAATATCTAAGGTCCATGTTTTGAGGAGAAACCTCGTGCTTCTCCACCCGACTAGCCTAGAATAGATTTCTACTTAGGTTGTGCTTAGGTCGTTAGAAGGTTCCCCAACCCAAACAAGGTGTAAGTTCTTTTGTTGAGAGTGTTTCCAGTTTTCTTGCTAAACCTCCCTTTCTCTTCTTTTCCATCAGCATCCTTGACATTTAGGCGGGTATACATCCTACCTCTTGGAGCTCCACCTGACAATCATAGAATAGAGTTTTGTTTCTTTAACCTTTGGGCTACCGAGGTTCCTGCGAATGACACAATTCACAGATTGCTAACCGGGGATCTCTAGATGATTTTGGGTTGACCACCTTCATGACCAAGTAGACTTAGGGTCCTAGTAGCTTGGGAGGACGGGTCCATGGTGCCTCGACCCATGTACCTCTATATGTTAGAGATTACTCCTCCCTTCCTTTAGCTATCCATCTTGAGCCCTGTCGCTCCTCTTACTACCATTGATATCATCTTGAAGGCTCAATTACCGATGAGCTGTCACCAATTTTGGATATGATGATTTGTCCTCTGCCCTTATGACCCAAATGTGCTTTGAAGTATTGGGATTCCCCATTAGGATGATTCGGTTGTTCCATAGGCTCCATATGTCGATGAGTCTATTACCAAAGCGGGACCCTGAGAGTCTCACTCTCCGCTCCATGGCTTAGTTAGAGCTTTGAAAGCATCAAAGATTTCTCAGCGAAATAACTATTCATTGATAGCCCTGTGCTAGTTGTCACTACTATTGTAAGCAAAAACCCATTGAATTACGAGTATTCTAGGGAAACCCCCAAGATGTAATTAACGAAGTGGGATACATCCACTTGGGAGCACTCTGGACGCCATAATAGGAATATACACTTCACATATATTTGACACTAGCTATTTTGATCAGATCTTTTTTTAACGTAGTTGCTTCACCTATCCCAACAAGGTTAGCCGCATAGAGGTTCTCCACATTTTTTCTTTTATTTGTCTATCTTTGGCATATGTGTGGCTTTATCAATTTCTATGTTCTCTAGATCATTCGCATGATTTACAAGGGAGATTTATTCAAAAAAAAGGAAACATACGATGATGAACAAACCGACGACTCCTTTAAAAATAAAAAAGAGAAAGTAATGAAAATATATCAGCGACTGCTTAAGGGATGAGGCTCTTTCTTCACCACAGGAGTTTTGCTTGCATGTCTTATAGATCCCAGAGTATTCACATGACTGGCTACTCTGCTAGGGATGAGGCTTTTTCTTCATGACGTGAGTTTTGCTTATTTCTTGTGGATTCCAGTGTATTCACATGATTTATAACTCCTATGAGGAAGATTCTCTCTCTTTAAATGTACAGAGTTGTGTTTTCCTGTTCTATGGGTCTTAGTGAATCCATAGTTACAGAACCGCAGAGAGTAGTGCACTCTTTCGGGGTTCTACTACATTTCTAGTGCCTAGATTCCTTTCTATTATAATATCACTTGTTGCGTCTTTTAGACATCAGACTTCAGATTTATGCATCAATTTTTATGGTTAATAGCTTGATGGTATTTTGTCCCTTCTTCTATACTCGACAGTTTGGTTGCTGTCAATCAGAAAGGATGGAAATTAGACAGCTAAATTAGGAGTTTTCTATAATTAGGAGCTTTCTTATTTAAATTATTTCTAATATCCTTATTATGATTTATTTCTCTTTTAGCTGAATATTTAAATTAGGAATATATATTATTGAGTTACCTAAAATAGATTATACAGAATATTTTGTACCTAAAATAGATTGTAAGATTATTATTTAATGGAATGAAAGCGAAGGGAAAATGACCGAGCCTATTTAGCATTCAACCTACGTTTCTCAAAATTTTGATATGGTATCAGAGCCAAATTTTTGCCTTAACTACCGGTAGTCGTTGGAGGACCGTCGAGGCTTCCTTCCCGCCGGCCTTCTTGCGAGATAAAAGGAACTATTTCTTTGTCTTGATTCACCCATCTAAGGATTTTCGTCCGCCTTTGATTCACCTTCTTTTAACTCCTGCGTCTGGTTCCGTCTCCCGCGTTTGATTCCAACTGCGATCTGCAATCCTGTCTATTTGTTATCTCGTCTCTGATTCAAGTCTCAACCACAATCTGCGATCTCGTTCGCTTCGTCCGCTTCGGATCTCCTTCACTAGCCATCGCTGCTTCTGCGACATCTTCGACTTATTCTTCCGCTTTAGCTTCGTCCTCTTTGACTTTGGCTTCTTCGTAACACCCAAGGATTGAAAGCTTCAACACTCCTTCCTAGACCCACGACTTCGACATCTCAGCTTTAGGACTTTTGGCGTGAAGATCAGGAAACAAATCGTCCTTGTCATTGCAGGAAGAATCAATAGCATTTTGATCGTATAACAAGAAGCAGATCCTATTTATGGGTTATGATCAATAGCATTTGGATTAGGACGCAGATCCTACTTATAAGCTATGATCGATAGCATCTGGATCGTATAACTGGATCCTATTTGTTGGCTATGATCGGTAGCAATTGGATCAGGACATAGATCCTACTTGTAGGATATGATCGATAGCATCTGGATCGTGTAACTGGATCATAGTTGTTGGCTATGATCGGTAGCATTTGGATTAGAACACAGATCCTACTTGTAGGCTATGATCGATAGCATCTAGATTGTGTAATTGGATCCTATTTGTGGGCAATGATTGATAGCATTTGGATCAAGATGCGGATCCTATTTTTAGGCTATGATCAATAGCATCTGGGTGGTGTAACTAGATCCTATTCGTGGGTTATGATCAGTAACATTTAGATCAGGACACGGTTCCTACTTGTAGGCTATGATTGATAGCATCTAGATCGTGTAACTGGATCCTCTTTGTGGGTTATGATCGATAGCATTTGGATCGTGTAACTGGAAGCAAATCTTTCTTGTGGCTGTGATTCGAATTTCTGGACGACAATGATAAATGATTTCTTGCTTTTCTTTGCTCAAATTATGTTATGGTTCAGTAGTTGTCTTTGAGGCTTCGACATTCTCGGCTTCGACACATTCGGCTTCGGCACTCACTGCTTGAGGATTTTTTTGTCCCCGCAGTGTTATCAGTTTCTTTTTGGCAAATTGATGTTTCTTGATCAGTCAACATCAATTTCACAGAGGATGTCAATCAAGAAGGACGGAAATTAGGCAGCTAAATTAGGAATTTTCTATAATTAGAAATTTCCTTCTTTAAATTATTTCAAATATCTTCATTATGATTTATTTCCCTTTTAGCTAAATATTTAAATTAGGAATATGTATTATTGAGATACCTAAAATAAATTATACAGAATATTTTGTACGTTAAATAGATTGTAAGATTATTCTTTAATGGAATGAAAGCAAAAGGAAAGGATCGAGTCTATTTAGCATTCAACCTATTTTTCTCAAAACTTTGATAGTTGCAACATTATTATATTTCATAAATTGCGAAAGAAAAAAAAAAAAAAAAAAACAAAAGAAATTAACCCAAGAGAAAACAATATCCTAAATTAATCAAACAGGAAATAAATGTGTATATATATACACACACCAACACACATTTATATATACATATATAAAGCACTTAAATCCCGCACATTTATTTCTAGTCGACTTTGAGTTGTTCCGCCAATTCTAATTTCTTCTTAACATTTCCCCCAACATCTTCCTTTCGCCCGCAACTATAATCGACTCTCATCTAAAGTCGAACTGCCATTAATTTTGGAAAATTCTTCAAGTTATTATTTTATCTCTCTTTTGGATCCACAGAAGTGCTGGATTCTTCAGTTCTGCTATCGCTGTAGGGATGTTTGCCCACGCGCTGTTTTTAGAGGATATGGATCTCTAATATACAGATCCTGTTGACGAAACCATCATTAAGACATAGAAGAAAGAGAACCGAGCTTCGTCAGCAGCCATGAGTGCCATGAAGTTCTGCCGTGAATGGTTAGCAACGGTTCGACTATTTTTTTTCCCCTTTTTTTTAATGAAATCTTGAGATTTGATTTGCCCTATTTAATTTTTTGTTACAGTAACAATATTTTATATCCCAAGGAAGACAAGGAGCAGAAGATCCTTCTATATGCATGTAGAAATTGCGATCATCAGGTCTTTTTTTTCGTTTTTTGTTTATGTTGTGATTTATTTTTTTTTAGGTCAATTTCTTTCGTCTATTTTTCCTTCTTCTTTTGCATTTTATGATATTATTGCTTGTGAAATAGTTGATTTATTGGTTAATTAGAAACCCTAAGTGTTCATGAAGAGAGACCGATGCAAACAAATCTGTTTATTTTCTGAAATTTGTTTCTGATTTGATTTTCCAGTGCTGAACTCTTCCAATATCCAGTAAACACCATTGCCATAGATCCATAGCTAACTCATATAACATTTAGAAACAAGAATTGATTTATGTTTAAAATGAAACCAAAGCATTATTAGTAAGAAACGCAAACTGGCAGCTTGAGATTTATGCTTTAAAATGCATGACCTTCATCATTTAGTGACATATGAATTTACAAAATAACAACTATTATAAGATATTTTACATTCAAACCCTCCCATTGATATAGAAATCAATCAGGAAATTCTATAAACCTTGGCATTTACACACATACCACCAATTCATATGTAATCTAACGCCTAAACTTTTCTTTTTTTACATTTAGACCAGCCAAATCTTTCATATCACATAAGAATACCATTTTTTTAGCTATTAAAAGGTGAAACACACCTTTTTCATGTAAATACATAGGAATTTGAGTGGTATGTATGTAAATCTTCCAACATGTATGCTTAGATGACATAACAATCAAATAAAGGGCTAAAATTTTTCTTCTGAATGATTAACAATTGCTGAACCTGATTGAGCTCAGGAGGCTGCAGAGAACTACTGTGTCTATAGGAATGTAATCGATCACGAGGTCGGCGAGTTCACACAGGTTATTCAGGATGTAACTGCTGATCCAACTCTTCCGCGAACCAAAAGTGTTAAATGTTCTGTTTGTGGTCATCCAGAAGCTGTATTCTTCCAGGTCAATTTACTTACTAAGTTGTTTTCTATAGCAGTTATAAAGATTTTTCACTAGTCCTTCATTTGCCTTCATACATACATACCACACAATTCCTGTATATTTACATTCACAGAACACAATTATTGTATATTTACATATCTAACACTTAAACTTTAATATTTACATGTATAAGACTCAAATCTTTGACATTACATCAAAAATTCCACCATTATTTACTTTTCAAACGTGTAATACACCATACCCTTCATGCATAGGTTCATGACAACAAAGTGGTATATATGCAAATATAAATGTTTAGGAGTTAGATATATAAATACTGAAGAATTGTGTGGTATTAAGTAATTAATGCAATTAAAAAGATATTATTTTGGAATAATAGATAACTGCGTGATTCTGAATGATCGCTGAACCTTGCAGGCCACTGCAAGGGGTGAAGAGGGAATGACACTATTCTTTGTCTGCTGCAATCAAAGCTGTGGTCATCGTTGGAGAGATTGATAGATTTGAACAGATTATTTAGCAAATAATGGAGATTTGAGGTTGAGAATAAGTGATTTATGTGATTGCTTTTGAATGAGAGTACTTTTTTTTTTTTAAGATCTTATCAGGGTGGGGGACTAAGAAATATGCTTAGAATCTATGAAACAGATGTTAATGAAAACTATCAAAAATTAAATGGAAGATCAATGCATAAAAACACAATTTTGTATACTGTATTTTTCAATCGATCGCCATATCCTATTGTCGCTGCTGCAGATTTTTTTTTTTTTATGATTTGATTGCAAAAAATTAGTACCCTAAATTTTTTTTATTCAAATGAAAATATTCCCCTCTCTCTCTCTCTCTCTCTCTCTCTCTCTCTCTCGCTCGCAACGCACCTAGTCGAATAGTTGGGTGTTCTGTATCCAACCATAAAAACTTGAGTTTGCAAAGAAAGAACTTTCTGGAACTTTCTCGAGCAAAATTGCTCGGGCAACTGTGTGGGCAATCTGTGCACTCTCATTCATGACATCTCCAAGTTGACCTGTAAGATGAGAGAAATATTTGCGTGCATAAGACGTACGCAGAGTTGCATACATATTAGGTTATTTGGAGGGTATATGTAGGTTACACTCAGGTTACAAGAAGAATTACAAGGGGTATTACGTAAGTGTAACCTACATGTACCTTCCGAATAACTTGATATGTACGCAACTCTGCACACGTCTTATGTACACAAATATTTCTCGTACGTATTCGATTATTCGGAGGGTACACGTAGGTTACATTTAGGTTACATGAAGAATTACAAGGGATATAACCTAAGTGTAACCTACCTGTACCCTCCGAATAACCTAATATGTACGCAACTCTGCATATTTTATACATACGCAAATATTTCTCGTAAGATGAAGCGTGTCTTTTCCTTCTCCTTGCTCAATGAGCGTCGTTTCAACATATAGTGTAGATCCGCCCAAAGCAGTCCATGCTAGCCCCATAACAACTTCTATTGGCATTTGGTCATAGATTTTATCAGCATGGAATACTGGTTTACCCACAAAACCAACGAAGTTTGAAACATCAATTACGACTTTATCAATCACGGTATCACCAACAGCTTCTTTTTCTATATCAATCACTTCACTGGCCTATCAAAAAAACATTTCATCAAACACTCAGTGGTAAAAAAAAATAATAATAAAAACATAGTGTTCACTGATCAACAATTTTTTTAAGCTACATGTTGTTGAGAAGGGGTATTTACATAACATTCCACACAATTCTTATGAATTTACATTTCTAAACCTAGCATCATATCAAAAATACCACCTTCAATACCCTTTAAAAGTAAAATTCACCTTTTTCATATATAGGTTTATGATACCAATGTGTTATGATACCATTCTAGAGCTTCTAGAAGGTGTTCGGAAGGGGGACTTAGCAGGGAGGTGGTTGTGGAATAACAATGGATGATAATAGGGGTGGTCGACAACGTTTGGAGGGGAGATAAACGACGTTCAACAGCTATCCAGTCTGAAAACAACAAAGATAGCATCAAAACGATGAAGTAAGCGTGTCAAGGAGATTCACCACATATTACTCCATAAGGTACAAACACTTCACTTACAAAAGAAAAATGATGTGACATGCCATTAAGGAAGAAATCAAAGATACAATCTCTAAACACACAAACCCAAATCAAGTCTCCTAATCCTAAGATAATTTTTACATATTATATGTATAATATTAATTAAACTAAACCCTAATTAGAAGAAAAAGAAAGAAATAATATAAAAAAGGTAAAAAATTCTAGTTGATTTGATAATGAGGTGGAAAAATCCTATAAGGAAAGTTTCAAGGGATGGCATACCCGTCCGACCCATCCTCAACCATAGTATTTGCAGAAATATGCGGTTTTGTTGCTCCTTGGCTTCCGCATCGTTCGTTTTGCAGTTCTACGGGCCACTGACTTCCACATCATTCTCCCGGTATGAGGGGCTTTGTCTTCATCCCAGGAAGCTTTTGCAACCAATTTATCACAATTGTGATAAATTCATTGTCTTGCTGTGTCTGAGGAAACTCTATTATAAAATCTATGCCCACACTTATTCCAAACAACTCTGAAACACACTCATCATTCTGAAGATTGTTTTGATATAATAAGTAGTTATTCCTTTTTAGCACAACCAAAGCTGGAATTGCATATGGGCTAATACTCCCATGAACCAAGTTTCCAACCATCAAGTGTGTAACGTGCATGCAAGTTCTAATACTTTGATGGTTGCATCCCATAAATGAGTTGGTTTGGCCAAAAAAGTTCTAGAAAGAGATCTATGACATGTTGAACCTTTCTTGGTGGTAGTCAGTCAAGAGACAAATTGTCAATCAAGTCATTCGACAACTTCTACAACAAGGGCTAATCTTTTCCTAATATCGACTCCTCAAACTTACTATCTTTTAAGACAACCAAAGATAATCTTGTTGGAGTCTCATTCATGGGCTAAGCACTAGCATCATTTTTTCATCAGTTAGAAGTCAGTACTTCTCCTTGCTCCCTATTCGGTGAAGAAAATCAACCTCCTATTTGTTCAATCAGATGCAATATGCTCAAAGGCGTGGCACTTAAGGCACTTCTTTCTGTGATGAATTTGGGAGTGCTAGAGCTCTCCACTTTTTCTCCACTCTAAACTCGTTTTTCCTTGAGCGAGGTCGATTGTGATACTTTATTGGGTGGACTCTTGCTGCTTGATCTTGGGGTTGAACTATGTCTATAAGGTGTGGTGGTCAACTAGTGGCATTTCTACGACTTTAATACTAGGATTTGTACATTGAGTAGGAACCAATTCTGCCGCAACTGCATCACATTGTTAATAGTCAACCTCAGTCCTCCAAACTATATCACTATTGTGTGCTCCCCTAATTCCACCAACCATATTTTAGCATGAGTAAATCAAATTCAACTGTGTACTCCAAAGAAGAATCTCCTTGGTAGAGGTGGTGGAGTTTAATGAACATATCATGTCGATAATGTGGTGAAAGGCATTTGATTTGCATCTCCCTTTTCATCTTAGGCCATGTGATGATCTTACTATTTCCTTCCAACTGTCGAAGAAGCTTCAAGTTCTCACACTACAATGAAATATTTTCTTGAACTTGATGGGTGCCAGTTTAACTCTATTGTCCCGAGGAACATTCTTGTACTAAAAATTCGCTCCACTAATTAAAGTCACTCGACAAACTCATTGTGATCCATATAACAGTCGAAATCTGATAAATCCACCTTTACTCCAATATCATTGCCTCTCTACTATTTCATATTGAATTGTTGATGTAATGGTTCTCTGTCACTCAAAATTACGCCACTAGATCTACTACTACTAAGATTAAATTCTATGTATTCAGTCTTAGATCCACTCAAACGAAGACCTTTAGACTCTAAAGTAGACCTCCATAATTTTAAGTTTTTTTCCTGAACTCTTTCTTTAGTCATAACCACAAGAAGGATATCTTCAGCGAAAAACATGCACCAAAGTACAACCTCCTGATATAGGCTTAAAGTCGGTCCTTGATGTAACACAACTGAAATAGGAAAATACTTGGTCAATCTTCATCCTACTCGAACATAAGTACAACTCTAGTATATACATATCTTTAATGACTTCAATATAGTCATATCAACATCTTTCTTTTCTGGAGCTCTATTAAGAACTCTCTCAGAATCTTATCGTAAGTTTTTTCTAAATCAATTAAAATGATATGCAGATCCTCCTTATTATACTTCTCCGTCAAACTTCCCAATAAATATATAACTTTCATGTTAGACTTGCCCGACATAAATCCAAAGTGATAATGGAAAATCTTTGTATCACGCCTGAACCTATGTTCAAATACTCTCCCATAATTTTAATTTATAACACATTAACTTAATTTCTCTATAATTTGCACACTCTTGTGCATCCCCTTTATTCTTAAAAATGGGTACCAAATACTCTTCCTCCCCTCCTCAAGCATCTTTTTAATTTTTGAAATAATATTTAAAAAATTTAGTAAGCAAAACAAATCCCAAATCTTCTAAATATTTCCACATTTATATTGGGATACTATCAGGTTCTACTGATTTTCCACCATTTATTTTCTTTAAAGCCTCCTCAACATCTTTTTTACTAATGTGATAGTATAAATAACAACATCTTTTTTACTAGCCTCCTCAACATCTTTTTTACTAATGTGATAGTATAAATAAAAAATTGTATTATTACTAATGAAATTAAGATCATCAAAATCGATCGTATTTTCAAAAATTTCACGGAAAGTTTATCAAAATATCTCGCCCACCTATGTTGAATATCTTCATCTAAGAAAAGTACCTTTTGATTATCATTTTGAATACAGTTATACTTGACTTAAATCTTTACTTTTCTTTTCTCTTTATTTGGCTGGTTTATACATATTTATTTCACTCTATTTAATATCTAATATATTATAACAATCACTAAAAATAGAATTCATAGCATCATAAATAGTTCTCTTAAGCTCCCTACATGCCACTTTATGTTTTTCCCAATTCTCTAAGCTTTTACATTTAAGCAAATTTTTATAACAAAAGTTCTTATGTTTTTATCTTTCTTACACATTATTATTCCACAGACAATTTAATTTATAAAAGTTGTCTTTTGATTCTCCAAATATATCATTTGTCACTTATTAAGTATTTGTTATTTTATTCCACATAGAATTAATTTCTTCATGAACATCCTAAATCTTAAAATTTTGAAGTTTGCTCATAAAAAAACTTTTATATGTGCCTTTTAAGTCCTCTGATCTAATTCTAAGATGATGTTTCAATGTGTTTTTTATATTTTAACTCTTCATCTTAAAATCTAAAACTAATAATCCATGTTGAGTATTTAAATTTTCACTTAGAATGGCTTTATAGTTTTTACATTCTAGACATCTTTTTTTCTTATAAGAAAATATTTTTTTTTTATCAGATCCATTCATATAAGTGATTTGTCCCAATGTGATCGATAAATTAAAAAAAAAAACATAAATTCAATAAAATTTTGAACAAATAGATTATTTTTATTTGCGTAAAATGTTATGTGATGTTAAAAATTTCAAAACAACAACAACAAGCTTTATCCTACTAAGTCGGGTCGACTACATGAATCTTTTTCTCTCCATTGCGCCCTACTGAGCGTGATATTTTCATTTAATTTTAATAGATTAAGATCTTTTTTTTATACAATAAGCCCAAGTCTTTTT